AAATGAATCCTGACTTGGGATAATACCAGAATTTTCAACAATTTCTGAAATGGCCTTAAACATATTTCTGCCTTTTTGAATTGATATGAAGTGAGGTTCTCTTCATTAGGTAATTATAAAATCAAAATACTGATCATTATGTAAAATGTTAAAAATGCTCTCTGTCCTGCAGTATCAAATATTCAGCCAAGATTTAATACCTTCTGTAGAAATAAACAAGCACAGCTATCTCTTGACACAAATTCAGTTTTAGGTTTAATAAATGGTAAAATTATATGTATATTAAAGCATTTTAGAACAAAATTTTAATTATGGAATAGCAATAAGCATTTGATTTATATCCCTATTTTATATGTCTATGTACCTGGGATAGTGTAAAAGTTTCTTGGGCAAAAAGATTACAAGTGGAAAAAGTTCAGAAAGTCCTACAGTCACCTCTAATTAACAAAGGCACTAAATCTATTTGTTGAGTGAAACAATTTAGGTATTTTAACAGAATAAGTAAACTGCACATCAAGAATTCCTCTTTCTTCATTTTACCCACTGGCATCTTACCAGAAGCAGCTTTTATTAACCTCACCATCAAATCCAGAAACATTCATAGTATCATTTGGCAAGAGACTGATTAGGGTTAGAGTACAGGACACGTGTTTTTGTGAATCTAGAATCTGAGTTCTACAAGTTATCCAATGGCTTGTGTCAAGGTCCTACACAGAGACGAGCACACAACAAGCACAGCTGTATCCAGAACATCCTGTTATTTTTCACGCTCAGAAAAAATGTAAGAAAGGGAAGTGCGGTCAGTAATAAGAGTGCAAAGCTAGAGGTCATGGAACTCTAGAAGTCTTGAATGTCACCTCAAGGACTATGAAGATATTCCTCAAGTACCAACACCCTGAATTTGGGTGAAAGTAACACAGTCAGATGTCAGAAAGAAAATAACTCCAATGGGAATACTCGTGATGACTAAATAACAGAGGAACAAGAGAGAGCATTTTCCCAGCTCATAATTACAAAGGGATTATGGCTTCAGGATACGGAATAGGAGTAGAGGTGTTCTAGGATGATGCTCCTGGTGGGAGGAGGCAAGGGGTCCAAACAGTGGAGGTCTCAAGGCTTTGCTATTTCAGTTTTAAGAAATTATGCATGGTGTGTGCACCCTACAACATCAGACTCGGTATTTGTAATGTTCAACCCTTGTATTCAAGGAATTTTCAGTATTCTACGTTTGTGTTGTCGTTCTTTTGGGAACTGGTTCTGAAGCTGTTAGAAACATGGTCTTCTCTACAACTGCACTGGCTACAGAGGACGGGCAGAAGTGTGGCCCTCATTACACAGTGACCAGTTAGTTAAGAGAATCAATTCACAAATGATAGATGCAGAAGGCGACTAAAGATCACCAATCTCTAAAAGATGTTAAAATGTTTCAGGGGTACTATTCCTAGAAGTGAATGAAAGTAAGATTTATTTGATTTCTCAACAAATGTGGATTTTGGGAAAAAAGAATAAATGTATATGAATATTTTTTCCCCAAAGCCTAGAGCTATGCATTTTTAAACTAAATCCCTTAAAAAAATCTTTCTACAAAGTTAATGAAATTTGGCTCTACCTCAGACTTTAATTGCAATACTCAAGTAATTCAGATTTTTCTTTTATTTTTGGAGACACAGTCTCATGTAGTGAAGTCTGGCCTTGAACTTCCTACGCAGCTGAGCTGAGGAAGATCTTGAGCCTCTCATCCTTCTGCCTTCACCTCCCAAGTACTGGGATTTCAAGCATGCTCCGTGCCCAGCTCATGTGGTGCTAGGGGTGCAATCCAGGTCATAGTGCATGCTAGGAAAGCACCCTACCAACTAGATAAAGACCTGGCCTCCACTCAAAAACTCATTTTAGATTTTTAAAATAAATTACACAAGATTTATTTGCAATTTAGACCCATTGTATGGATAAATCATGCCACAGACTTTACTCTCAGGAAAAATCAGAAATGGATCACTCTACAGTAAAAGATACAGTTCTATCTCCCTCTGCCTGGTCTTTTTTGAGACTGGGTCTCCCTGTAGCCCCAACTGGCCTGGAATTCCCTATATGACCAGGCTGGCCTTGATGTATCTCACAGAGACTAGCCTGCCTCTGCTTCCCGAGTCCTGGGATTAAAGGCATATGGCACCACACCAGGGACAGTTCTATCATATTTTTTGAAAGCAAAATAAATTTGCATAGGTAGCCATGTTTTCAATTACTTTCATTCTCAACAATTAGACACAAACTTAAATCTGTATGTATATGTATATATATGTATATATATATACACACACATATATAATCTCACATCACAGGAGAGTGACAATACGTATCACAGGAGAGTGATAATTCTCTAAAACTGAAAATTAGGACCCTCTTACCACAAAAATATCTGTATTAGGATTTCTGTTCTTGCTACTTTATACACATCCTTTGTCAGCAGAGGCATTTCCTTGACACTTAAGATCTTTTTTCCTTTATTTTTTCAGTACAAAGATCATTATTTAAGCTACAGTTCAAACTTTAATTCTTGTTATTCAATCCTCTCTGCTTAGGAAACCTGAATTTCATGCCATCAAAATCTTTATTTTGTGGAGACAAGTACAGATATATATTTTTTTAATTTTAGAGATTTTTTTCTCACAAGATAAAGAACAAAAATTATGAAAGAAATTACTGCATCAAGGATTCAACCCATCAAAGAGCCTTGCTTCTACTTCCTCACCAGGTACACCTTAGAAGTGTCTCAGAACGTACAGTACTCATGGCATAGGCATGTACATACATACAGGATCCTAACAGCCGATGTGGATAAAACTTGGTATTATATATACTTAACAAACTATTAAACCTATTAAATTTTATTTTCCATATCACATAATTTGGAGCAGCACATCCCCTAAGCTTGGAGATGTGTACATGCTTGTAAACTCTATTCAGAACCTTTGTGCCTCTGCATAAAGGAGCAAATAGAAGTTCTGTTTCTAAAACTGTTAAGATCTGGGTTTTGGATAATATATTGGATCAACAAGGCTAGAAATCTACAGCATGCTTAAGAGTATCCACAAAACAGCACTTAAACAGTACACATATGTGTATAGGCACATATAAAACATAAACAGTACACAGATGTATATATATACATATATGTGTGTGTGTGTGTGTGTGTGTGAGAGAGAGAGAGAGAGAGAGAGAGAGAGAGAGAGAGAGAGAGAGAGAGAGAGAGATTCTAACCCAGTATTTCTGAGTAAGTTCATAACAGAATGCTGTTAAGGCATTTCAATGAGGTGAAGCAGAGACAGTATGTTATCTTTACTAGTGAGAAGGGGCAGTGGCTTGGGAAAAAAAAACCCAACATTTTCTCCATGTAAATTCTTCACTATTTAGATTGCAAGAATTATAACTTCCCAGATAAAACCACATTAAAGTGGTATGCAAATTCATTAATTTCTTACAGAACTTCATATCAATTCTGTACTCAGAAAAGATAGTTAGGTCATACAACCATCAATGTAATATGAAAAGGAAAAACTACTCAGATTCACTGTAAAGTTTTATTTTGTCTGTACCTGACAAAATTGAAATTCTGAAAAAAAGTTGAAATTCTGTGAGTGTCCACATTTCCATCACGCTTTCCATTTAGATGAATACTTTTCTATATGTAGAAAAAAATAATTGATAGATTTAGGGCCATGGAGAATATTAGTAACAAAGTCGGAAAGAACATTAGATTCTAGCCTCTAGTCAGTTGCTTATCTAACTATACTGTTAATTTAATGTAACTCATTTATTCTCCAACAGCCTATTTAAAAACTCTTCATTTGGGGCTGGAGAGATGACTAAATGGTTAAGACCACTGGCTGCTCTTGCAGAGGACCTGCATTTGATTCTTAGCACCCACATGGTGGCTAACACTGTCCGTAACTCCAGTTCCAGGGAATTGGATTCCCTCTTCTGACCTCTGTGGGTATGGCATGACACAGGTGCACTTATATACCAGTAAGTAAAGCTTATTCATACAAAATTAAAATAAATAAGTAAATGCAAGCCTCTTGATTTCACATCTAATTTCTTTTTTCAAAAAATGAGTAGTTTTCAATGAAATTATGACAAAAAAGACAGATCAAAGAAAGATAAACTAAAGCCAACTTATTTTGGTTTAATTTTTACTCTAAAGTTGGTCACAATTTCATGTATCTGGGAAGCAAAGAAGAGTTCAGGACTTGAGTTTTAAGAAGTAGTCTGTTTTTAACCCAATTTAAAAGCTATGTCTTCCTAAGAATTTCTATTTTTTCTGAACTACAAAATTTTCTTTCCACTGTTAATATAATGTTGTTATATTCACAATAATTCTTAAGTACAAAAGATACTGATATTTGATAATTTTTAACCCTAAAATGAGTAAGCTGCAAGTATTTCTTCTACTTACAATGAGATAATTTTTGTCCTTTATTAGGTATAGATCACCTTTACATTTTCTGTTCTACAGTATTCACAACCATATGTCATTTGAATATATAAAAATTTACAAATTACTATATATGATATTTTTAATGCTCAATGAAGTCCTCCTCCAAAATATACTTTCTTCATCAAGTTATCTTACTATCATTACATATAGAATAAAAAGAATGCTCCATGGCAACAGTAAAAGGCAGGCTTATCCATCTTTTTTTTTTTTTTTTAACTCAGTGTCTGCCCAAGATCAAATTAACAGAAGCAGCCAATCATCATGTAAAAGGTAAAATAGAGAATAGAGAACTGGTGATATCTGCTCAGGATCTGATGATTTATAGAATAGTTTTATAAAGAATGTAATAAATGCTACATAATTTGACATACCTGTTTTTAAACCCATGACCAGCGTACACACACACACACACACACACACACACACACACACACAAGAGTGAGAGAGAGTACGAGAGAGAGAGAGTGCAAAATGAAGTGAAATGAAATGATGTTGTATCTCTTACCTAAAGAATGTGCAGCTGTGGTTTTGGAGCTGAAAAACCGACCAAGCCCAAGGTCTCCAAGTTTTACCACCCCAGTGGCTGTAATGAACACGTTAGCTGGTTTTATATCTATGGATAAATGAAGGGATCAGGTAAAAGATGATGTAACTTTGAAATGTCAAAGGAATATGAAATTTTGTCTCTGTAAAATTCAAATTGTACATTAAATATGAAAGTCTGAACTATGAACCAGTTACTTTATTTTGAATAATTTTCATATATTCCAATACTTCAAATTTCTCAGTTCTCTGAGAGAGAAACGCCAATGCAGTTGGATGAAGACTGTTAATTTCCCTATCAAGTACTCTTGTTTTCTATTCCAAATAATCATTTATGAAATTCATGTAACAAATAAGTTTATGGCCCCTTAATAGCAATTTTAAATATAATCATATGAAAAGATTAATGGGTATATTTACATCAGTTATAAAATCATGATTTTAAAATGTTATGCACATTATACTTATTCAGGTGGCTTCACAAATCTTAAATCCTTAAATAAAATGCTTTGAAACTTTTCACATCCCCAAATCACTGGATCAGGTAATGGCTGACCTTAGCATTCAGGCCAACAATTTAACTGCCAATCAAGAAGATAGTAAGAAGTAATGCCAAAGATTAAAAAAAACCTAAGTGGCCATAATACTCTATTCATTTGAAGGAGAAACAACACCAAAATGCCCTTTTTTCTGTATAGTCAACTGCTTTCCCACATATTTATTTTTTATATATTCCCACATATATTCTTTACCAGCTAGAACCAAGTAGATATTCACAGAAGTCAAGCAAAAATTAATTTTCATTCTTACATAAAACCAAGTAGGTCTTTACTGAAAGGCTTATAATTCAAGCAAAAGTCTAATTTGGAATTAAATTACCCAAGAAAGGATAACACTATGGAATAATTGGAAGACATTTATTTTAGGTTGCTTGATAGCTTGTAGTATTTAAAATGATATTAAAATTTCTTATGATTTTATCTTACCTCGATGCATGACTCTTCGTGAATGCATGTGTTCCAATGCACTGCAGAGCTGAACAAAGTATTTCCAAACAGTTCTTTCAGGAATTAGCCTCTTTTGCTTCTTAAAATGCTTTAAAAAAATTAGAAAATAATGATCATGAGAATTAAAGTTTCCTAAAGCTGGATCATAGCTTATAAAATTAGTAAGTCAGAAAAACACCTACTTTTACCTACCTGTTATCAGTTTTAAGAAGTATGATTTTCTCTGATAAAATGATCCCAGGAGTTCTATCCGACACAATAGCTTAAACTGTTTCGTATTTTCCTAAGGCTAACATAAGCCATGTAACACCTGCATCTCTGTAACATCCAACTACCTCAGACATTAACACCTGTGTAATTTACCTTGCGAAGCCATCAAATTTCATTTTCAGAAAAGTCACAATTAAAAAACGTCTAGGAATCATAAGATAATAAGACACATTTAGACAGACTCTCACTGAGGATGTAACTCCATTGGTAGAATGCACACATGAAGCCCTGGGTTCCATCCCGAGCACCACATAAACCAGGCATGGTGCTGCACATCTATAATCTCAGCACTTTTAAGGTAGAGAGGCAGAAGATCAGAAGTTGGGAGGTGGGTACAGGAGGATCAGGAGTTCAAGGTCAATCTCTGTAGTATTGGGATTTTGAGACCAGCCAGCCTACATGAGATCAAAAACCTAAGAAAACAAAATAAAATGAACAGCTGGAAACTCTATGGTGGTGAGCTCACTGGCAGAGAGAGAGAGAGAGAGAGAGAGAGAGAGAGAGAGAGAGAGGCCATTCTGCTCTGGTCGAAGTCTTCACTCTAGAGTTCCTCTTAAATATCAAGCCACACTGGTGACCTGAAATGCCACAATTTATTAAAAATTAACGTCAAAGGGATTTCTGTAAAAAAATTTCATGAGTATATATTCACTGCACATTATTACAAGGTAAACTTGCACTTTCTGTTGAATGAATGGCAAACAGCAGATAACATCAACAGGCCGTGTGAGAGAGACTGGGCCCAGCACGGATGAGAGAAATTGCTAAATTACAAACCACACTTACAGAGTTCTGCCCATTTTCCTGTATTACATTTCTCAGAAGCCTCTGCTGGTAACACACTCAAGAACCACGCTCCTAGCTTCACCAGACACTCTTAACATAAAAAAACATTTTGTAAAAAAAAGTGCAATGTTTCCTATTTAGCAATATTTATAAATTATCAACAGGAAGAAATAGTGTATTTAAACAGTTTTTCAGAAATTTTTAACTGTTTATAAAGTATATGCACTTACTAATAGATATCAAAATTTAAATTTGTTCTTTACACATTTTGAGAAGTTCAACCAATCGATTTTTTTGTTACTGAACACAAAGAAACTATGCTTGAGAAAATGCAAACTAGCAGCGCTCACTCTTGAGGCCAGCCGAGGGCAAAGCAGCACCAGGAAAGTACTGATGTCCCTGCTTCACAGGCAACAAAAGGTCACATTCACTCCACCGTGTCCCTCAATACACCAAAGCAAAACTCTTCAAGGTAATGATATTAGGTTAATCTTTCCTATTACATATGTCTGAAAATGAACTTTTTCTACCCTTTCAATCCAGTTAAATTAGTATCCTTATATTCTAAATGGCCAGGTAATTATAAACACACACTAAAATGTTGAAAATGTTGCTAAGCTGTTGAAAACCTCTCATATCATGTTTCAGTATTTCTTTCATGGCAGATTGTGTCAACACCAGTTTTCACTGGAAGGGGACAATGCTGAAAATTCAATTCTTTACATACAATTTTCCTTGAGACTTGGCAGGAGTCCAAACAATGCCTGCATGTGCCTTTCCAGTGCTGGATTAGCATATCAGAGGACTGTTTGATGTCAACAGAAAGATGGGGACCAGGTTTCTTTTCATTCAAACTAAATAGACTGTATCATGTAAGTATCAGACTACAAAAGAATTATTTAAATGTTTTAACACAGATTCTAAAGTCATCATAATTATAATGAACTTAGCAGTTTATTTTTTAAGCCTCATAATTAAAAACTAAATATAAAAGAAACAAACAAACAAAAAAACTGGCCACAAAATGCACATTAGAAACGATGTCATCAGTCCACAATGACCTGACTACTTTCATGTTTTTATGTGCTTCTCTAACACTGTCTATTAGAACAAATAACAAATGATGAAAATCGACTGGCATCGGCATCATGCCACCTAGACAGAATGACCTGGCAAAGCTTACCTATTCTGCTTACTAGTGGGACACTGAAGAATAATATGGATTTCATTATCATAAAATGAAGGTAGTCTAATTATGTTACTGGCATTTCCCAATTTTTTAAAAGTCCATTTAAGTATGCATGGTCTATCATATGGTCCTTAAGTGTAAGGTTTTTGCTTTTTGAGGAGAGTAGGCACAATGTTGAAAGCCTGTCCTTTCTCATGGGGGCACTGTTGGCCATCTCCTAAGAGGATGACTCTCAAAGGGGCACTACTGACCATCTTTTAAGAGGATGGACATTTCTGTTCTCATGGGAGCACTGTTGGCCATCTCCTAAGAGATTGAAGAGAAGAATGACAGAAATTTGAATTACTGCTATTATTGTAAGATTTATATCTGTAATACTCAACCTCTCAAAACTTACTTGAATAAATACAACTCTTTCAAAATTTAATTCCCTAGCAGGATAGCCATACTACTGAAACATATTTTCTGAAAGAGATATCCTTACAATGAGATTTTGTTATATATTAGTAATCATCTCATGTAACATACAAAATTAAAATGAAACACACACAAACAACAAATGGTGTAACAAAGCTTCTAAAGAGTAGTATCAATAAAAAAGTTTACATGGGAAAGAAAGATGTTAGGCATGTTTCCTACTGTCATCTTAGAAATAGAACTGTATCTTTTTTAGAACCAAAAATACAGTGTTAAAAAATTGTGGACAAAGTTATCAATCAGGTTTAATAGATCACTTGGACATAATTTTTGTTTAGGTTTTGCTTCTTTTATAAAGTAGGATAGTCTTGAAATACTTTTCTAAAAAATTATTTTCCACCACCATTAACATTATATCAAATAAACATTAGATTTTAATTCAAATAGAAAAGTCAGATGTAACACAAAGGCAATCCATTTAAAAACTTAAACACAAATGTGAGACTACACTATCTCAAGTGTTTATAAAAGATTACTAACATTCACTTATGGGATTAAGTTTACCTGGTAGAATACATCTGCATCAGCATGAACTGATTTTAATTAAATTTTAATACAAGCTACTTCTATTTCAATTTTTTAAAAACATAATAGGATCTTTGTTTTTCACTGCTAAACATCCTCCAACAAACGAAATGCTCAAGACCAAGTCCATTTATGCGGTGGGCCTTGAGTGGCGAAGTACGATTCTCTGAATGGCAGGATGGGCCTTGACTCCTGCATTTTGCTCTGCAGCGCCAGATACAGCACTGCTTCTGCTCATGCAACCCCACCTCTCCTCAAGGAGTCTCTGAAGCTCTTTAGTGGCAGGGCCTTGCACAAGCTCACCAACAGGGAAAGACAGAGAATGATCTTGATCTGGATTTGTAGAATGTCAATATAAATGGCATACAGGCTATTTAGGCCTTCAGTCAGGCATGCAGGCATGCAGGTACATGGCCTATGCAGCCACACAGATCCTGTACTGGCCACTAGACATTAATGTCCTTTTATTGTCACCTCAAAGAGTCTTAATTTTTTTGACAAAGGGCCCCACAATTACGTGATTGCTTGCTTACTGGAACCTACATATAAAGCATCTTTTGGAAATGCTGCAGGTGGTTGAATAACAATAAAAACAACAAATATCTTGTGAGCAAGGCATTTTTGAAAAAACTAGAAAAAATAATAATTAACTGATAAGAAATAATTAAGTTACAAGAGAGCTATAATTACAGGTACCAGCTGTTCTCCTTATCTTCCAACTATCTAATGGAAGGAAGTGATTTATGTTAACTATAAGGAAACATTTCTTGCTTGAGACTGTAATCAAATGTTTGGATGAGCCTCTACTACAACCCATATCTCTCTTTTTAAAAAAATATTTATTATTTTTATTTTATGTGTATGCAATGTATTGCCTGCAAGTAAGTAAATGCATCAGTGCCATGCAAGCCCGCCAAGGACAGAAGAGGCTGTTGGGTCCCCTGGAACTGGAATTACAGACAGTTGTTAGCTGCCATGTGGGTGCTGGGATTCAAACCAGGTCTTCTGCAAGAACAGTGAGTGTTCTGAATCACTAAGCCATCTCTCCAGCCCCCATATCTGTCTTTTAACAATAAAATTGATTGTGGGGCTTGACAGTAATTGGCATGATAACCTTGCAGAAGTCACTTAGCCAAGTTGGACCAGTTTCCTTCGCTACATTAAACAGAATTTGGACATGATCTGTGGAACTGCCACCTCTAAATATTATCTGTAGCTCAACAATTTCAGTTACATATAAAACATAATTTCTATTTGACATATTGTTACACTTAAAAATAAGTTTACAGGTCTGCCAAAGCTTTATAACATGAGCTAATAAGAAAGCAACAAAGAAAAAAGTGTAGAGACCCTAGCTGGTTCACTTACCATAATAAATGGCCTTCACACACTGTGACAGGCAGGTAGAATCTTTCACTCTAAACTTGTAATTAGGTCAAATTTACCATCTGAAGGGATGCTATGTCCCCAAACATCTTTGTAATTATAATTCAGTTCTGGAAAATGGCATTTTGTAGTCATTACTTCAAAGAACTGAATGCACAGAGACCAGGAACAGAAGGTGTTGTTTCCCATCTTGTTGGGAAATCTATTGAAAGTGTTATTTTCTAGATTATAAAAGATATAAACATAATCAATTTACTCCCCAAAGTCAAAATTGTATGGGTTATTGAAGAAAGTCAAATCTATAGCTCTTAGCACTGAACATGTGAAACATGGATGATTTTCTTCTACTAAGCTGTGAAGAAACAACCTTTATTTAGCAAAGAAGAAAAATAAGCTCCTGTCAAATTGCATTACTCTTTCTCCCCCAAAGTTGTCTTCTAAACACTGGTACATCA